GAGAAAGATCTCCTGTGTTGGAGGTGACAGAGTCAATAAAGAGAACCTGTCACCTCCAAAAGCTATCACAGAGGGGCTTATTAGCACCTCTGTGATAGCAATAAAGTCAAGTGGAAAAAAAAGTCAAAAAAATAATAAAATAAATAACAATAAAAAATGTAAATACATAAACATGTAAAACAATTATTATTATTATTATACAGGATTTATATGGCACCAACAGTTTGCACAGCGCTTTACAATATAAGGAAGACATTACAATCACAATACAATGCAAGACAAGACAAGATGGTAAGGGAGAGAAATAACAAATAATTAAAAATGTAAAAACATAAAAAATAATAAAATAAATGATAATTAAAAATAAAAAAATGTTACAAAGTTAAAAAGAAAAAAATTAAAACCAACCCCGCTGCACCCACCACCTGCATGCGAATAAACACATGCATAGGGCATGTATTCTGAATTTCGCTCGCAAATCGCAAGCACTCGTTGGTCAGCGCGGTCACCTTAACACTGCTAAATACAGTTTTGGTTAAAAAAAATATATATTTTATCGGGACAAGTAGATTGTCAAGAATATACAATATATTACTAGATTCAATGCACCCGTCCCCTCCTTATTATATTAGGGAGTGGGAATGTGAAATAGGACAGACATTTGCAGAAGAGGAATGGTATAAAGTTTTCCTCTTAACCTTTAAATTGCGTATTTCAGCTAGAATACAGGAGAGCAATTTTAAAATAGTAACTAGGTGGTATAGATGCCCAATGACAGTACATAAAATAAACCCTCAAGTAACAAAGATGTGTTGGAGATGTGAAATGGAAAAGGGTACAATGTTGCACATATGGTGGGCTTGTCAGGGGGTAAAGCCCTACTGGGGATTTATCTTTGAGATAGCGGGCAGAGTTATGGGATCAAGTTTGCCTGAACCACCAGAAGTGGCATTATTATCAATGCTTCCAGGTTCAGTAAAAAGGATCAAGGAGGGACTGGCATGCCCCATACTAGCCAGCGCATGCAAGGGCGATAATCCCAAGACACTGGGGACAACCAAATTCTTCCGAGATTCGGGAATGGGTGGCAGAATTGAACCATATAATGCGTATGGAAGAATTGACAGCTTTTTTATAGGATAGACACTCGATCTTCATGGAAAAATGGAGACCATGGATGGCTTTTCTTGGCTCAACAGAGATTCATCAATATCTATAAGGAATCAGTGTCGTGTCCCCCCCCTCCCCCCCTTTTTTTTTCCTTTTGTGAGCTGACAGTGTGGGAATGAGTTGAAGGAGGGAGTATGGAGATGGGGAGAAGGGGGAGTTGGGGGAATGAATGTAGGGGTGGGTATGATAGGTTTTTTAAAATGGGTAAGAGTAAAGGTGTTGGACTGAGAATGTTGTGGGACCATAGGCAGTAAAATACCTTTGCTCCTTATTATTATAGCTCCATACATGCTTACTCTGCAATTTTTATGAACACATGTTAATGATGGTGGGACAGTTCACTATGTAATCGATTATAAGCATTAGCTTTTCACTTATGTGCCATCTGAAATGAATAAGTAATTATAGATAAGAGATAGCTGTTGGATGTTGACACCATTGTTATTTCTATGTAATATGGAGAATATTGTATATGAAAGGAGATTAAAGGAGAACTATGGGGTTAAGGCTTTTCCCCATAGTTCTCCTTAGGGCAGGGGTGCCCATAAGGTCGATCGCGATCTACCAGTCGATCGCAAAGCTATCGCTGGTAGATCGCGGGTCGACTCCCTGTCCTACGCTCCGTGTACCCGAATGTGTCAGACGCTAAAGCATCCGACACATTCGTCTCTCCCCTCCTGTCTGAAGCGGCCAATAACCTTTCCTACCACACGTAGCGTAGGTGGCCGCCTCTACCCGCACAGACACTGACACACTTTGTTCACACACTCGGCCTGCCCCTCCGTCTTCGTCAGCGTCCAATAATCATTGCCTCCCACACGTAGTGGCATCGGCTGCTCCTCCCTCTCCTCAGTGTGCACGTTTGACTGGCCCCTCCCCACCCGTAACTTTGGACACCTCTGACCCGCTCCAGTCTGCAGCATCAAGCACGTTGGGACCACACCTGAAGAGCCAGAAGCAGGTAGGCTATTGGCTTGAGTGGGATCTGACAGTATAGTTAAGGGGCTGCACAGCTAAGGCCTTGTTCACACCAAGCGCGGAGCAGATCCGGACCAGAGCAGGTGCAGACCGGATCAAAACTGCGTCCAATGTATTCCTATGGTATTTTGACCTCCAGTTCACATCGCAGCGTGCGGATCCAGACCAGATCCAGACCGAATGAAAAAAATGCGGCAAGCCCTATTTTACCTGCTCTGGATCTGGTCTGGAACGCATCAAAAACGCATCTAAAACGCATCAAAAACACATGCAAGTGCCTGAAAGCCCATGTTAAACTTAAAAAAAAAACAACATTTTTTTTTCCAAAACCGGCCCTAAACGCATCAAAAACGCGTCTAAAACGCGGCACAACCCACTACACTGCAGGTGCAGAAACCTGACCGGATCTGGTCTGCATTTGGTGTGAACAAGGCCTAAGGCTGGGTTCACACCTAGGCGTTTTTCCGCGCTTTCGTACTCGCGGAAAAACGCTCAAACAGGGAAATGCCATTATTTTCAATGTGCATGGTTCCCATCTGGCCGGTTTTTCGCGAGTACGAACGTACAGCCAAGTATCCCTCGGAAACGCGCGTTTTTTGCGCGGTAAAAAAACAGCGCGAAAAATGTGCATATTCAATCCGCCTAGGTGTGAACCCAGCCTAAGACTTCTAAAGCCTCCTTCACACCATCCTCAGTGTGTTCCGGCGCTATTGTGGCCGGAATGCACCGGAACGCATTGCGGCCGGCTCAGTTTGTTGTGGGGTGGGAGGGGGTGTGGTGATGTGTTGAAGTGAATGGCACCGCAGCCATGCCCTCCGGCCGTAATGCAATCTGCCGCACGGAAACGAAAGGCACATCAATGCCTGCGGTCCGGTCAGAAAAAAAACATTTTTTCTGACTGGACCGGATCGCAGGCACTGATGTGCCTTGCGTTCCCGTGTGGCCGATCGCATTGTGGTCGAAGGGCGTGGCTGCGATGCCATTCACTTCAACACACTGCCACACCCCTCCCACCCAACAAACTGAGCCGGCCGCAATGCGATCCAGTGCGTTCCGTCCACAATAGCGCCAGAACGCACTGAGGATGGTGTGAATTAGGCTTTAGGGCTGGTTCACACCACAACCAGTGCGTTTCAGAGCGGTCAGGCTCTGGAACGCACTGTATTGCACTCCGGTCGGTTGCCTGCGTTCAGGGGGCGATCACCCGAACGCGTGGCACATTAGTGCCTGTGTTCCGGTCTAGTGCGATCTGCAAAAATGTGCCACGCGTTCAGGTGAAGGTTATTGCAATACGGGTGGGGGGCATGGCTATGGTGACATTAACTTCAATGCACTGCCACGCCCCCTCCCTCACCTGAACGCAGATAATGCCTGAATCAAAGAATGCAATGTTTTAGGACGGTATTTAGGGTTTGTTTACACAAGTTACAGTACAGTGCGTTCCAGCGTCGTTAGCTGCTGGAACGCACTGTACCACATGGTAAACTCCCCCTGCGTTCTGGGCTGGGGGGGGCCGTGGCGGTGAATTCAAGTCACCAAAACGCTGAAACCACAATGTCTGCATTCCAGTCCAATGCGATCGGGAAAAAATAGCGCATGCAGCATTTTTTCCGATCGCACTGGACCAGAACGCAGGAATTTGGTGCAGGCGAATGCACTGCGGGCGGGGGCATGGCTGAGGTGCCACTGACTTCAGAACGCAGGAGGGAGGTAGATCGTTGGTAGATCTCGTTGGGCTCCTCATTTGAAAAGTAGATCTCAATACAAAAAATTGTGGGCACCCCTGCCTTAGGGTAACGGGAGGACACAAACTAGCGTCCTCCCGTCACCCTAGGCTCAGTATACCGCGAGCAGTAGCTCGCGGTATACTGAGATGCCGCAGTATACTGAGACGCCGCAGTATACCGCAAGCAATTATGTCTGGATCCGCCCAGTTGATGACTGACAGCTGGCTCTGCCTATCTAGAGGCAGAGCCAGCTGTACCCTCCTCCCTCCGTTCCGCCAGTCAGCGCTGGCGGATCGGGTGGAATTCAGCACCTCCCCTGTCACGGCAGAGAGCCGTGACAGGATCGAGAGGTGAGCGAACGCCGGTCTGTGTTCGCTCACCTCCCGATCTACTGAGCCGACCTGTGACAGTTTCATTGTCACAGGTCGGCTAGAACTATGAGGTGAGTGAAAAGCACTCAACTCATAGTTCTCCTTTAACAAAGGACCTCAATCAAAATACACTAAGGGGAAGTTACTAAGACTGGAAAAGACACAATGCATGGCACCCAATCAGCTTCTAGTTTTTATTTTCAAAGCAAAGCAAGTTCACTCTATCAGAACTTATAAAAATGAACATATCCACAGTACAGATAACTTATCCTTTAACTTAACAAACTGGAAATAAAAGCTGATTGACTACTGTGCACAGCTGCTCCAGTTCTAGCAAATTCCCCCTTTTAAATTTACTGAAACTCTGTTAATTCCTGAGTTTCTGCCAGTCCTGACTGAGAGACAGATAAAACAGATTATAGCCGTTCTTCCTGATATCACCCTCGCTGGCAAACAAACACCTGCCCGATACAGATGCGCGCGCACCCTGTACAGCCATAAACAGGAAACCTATGGCGCAGGAACAGCCCCGCCTCCCAGCTCCTCACCTGGTGCTTTCCCGTAAACCTCCTGCGAACCACAACCAGTACGTTTTGACTGGGGGAGGGGTTCTGCACAAAGGTGACGACGACCACCAATGGCAGGGGAAATGGGCGGGGAGGAGGTGAGCACCCGTGGAGCGCAGTGTATTAGCTTGCAGCAGTACTTGTCGTCAGGGACATTGGACTGGGTGAATCTTTGTGTGGGTGCTGTACATTGTTCCGATCACATGGAGTTGCGGGAAGCCGGGCTGCGGCGGCAGGCAGTGAAACGGCATTTACACAAACATAACTTGAAACACCGGTATGAGTTCCTGGAGACGCTCGGGAAAGGGACGTATGGGACAGTGAAGAGAGCCCGGGACAAGCAAGGGAATGAGGTGAGGGATGTGCTGATGTTACAGGGGAGTTTGCCAAGACTGGAGCAGCTGTGCATAGCAACCAATCGGCTTCTAGCTTTCATTTTTCAAACCTAACTTAAGATGAAGATAAAAGCTGATTGGTTTATATGCACGGCTACTGTCTGCTCCAGTTTTAGAACATTACTCTTTTTTTCATTTTGTGATATGTACACCAGCAATGTTTGATTTTGGAATTATTGCTGGGTGACTAGGTGCTGAATTGTGTTTAGTGACATAGGATAGTTATTTTGCTTGTTCAGTTAGTGTGATTACATTTTTATTTAATGCTTTAATGATCAGTGTCCTTTAAGGCCTCATGCCCTTGGGCTCATGCGCTTGCAATTTCCATTTGATGGCCTAATTTCCATGCCTGGGATAACCAGCATACAATAGTGAGCGTGTGTATGTTGCTGTAAGTGGGGTTTACGCTGCTGCTTTTGTAAACCCGCACAGGTGTACAACCTCTCTGTTGGGGTGTTCTGACCGCGATCAGAATACAAGAGAAACAGCGGGCAATCGGAATCTGTTCTATTTTTTTCCCCCCTTCATTTAGCCTGTGGGTTGAACAAAAAAAAAATGCATGGCCAGCTTAACTCTGTGACTAGTTTTTCTCATTGACGTGGTCAGAACTAGGAACACGCACAGTTGCACAATTCTAGTTCTCTGCCAGTGTAGGAGGATAAATAATGTTTTCATGGCAAGGAACGTTTTACATTTAGACATGTTGAACTGTATTGTATTCACAGAGGGCTTAATAAATCCCCAGAAGAAGAAATATTTATGCTTGCTGATCTGTGCTCTCTTCAGAGCTCTGATGCCTAGAGAATACTTTTCATCCGACACACTTCCTGGTGTGAGAAGCGGTGACAACATCTGTGGATGTCTGCGGCCAGAATTACATTTGTTTTCCAATAGCTGCGTCTGCATCTGACTCTAACCACATGTAATTGGACATCCACCGATTACCTGTCAACAGCTGTGAGCCTGCCCTTAGCCTGTCATTGCTTTTCATAGCCTGTGGGGCCACAGCTATTGGCAGACACCTGTCATTCCGGACCCAGGAATACGCAGGTTCTCGCCTCCGGAATTCTCAATTCAGCCCTAGTTGTAAGTGGGGCCTACTTTATTCCCCTGGTCCTGGTGGCCTAGGTCTGCGGGATAGACAGTAAAGTTGATTCCAAAATTCTGAAGTTGTCTCCCAAAAAAGAGGTGAGGGGAAATCCAATGGGGACAACTATGGCTAGCCGGACATGGCTCGAATTTCCGCTATTTCCTGCTGAAAAAAGTTGAGCCGTGGGTGACCCCAAGTACATTTCAAAATTGAAGGGGCCGGGTGGAAGATTGTCGGCCAAACAGTAACTACGTCCTATCAGAGTCACTGTTTGGGCTTTCAGCAGCTGCGGATGCAGCGACTGCCTGAATACACTGGCAGTGCAGGTTTGTCTATCTACGCTGTTTAGCCCTGATGGGGGAATGGAGGGATTTTTCTTATTTAGCATTTTTTATAAACTTGTGAGATTCCATTTTTTTTATGTTGTGGTCTAACTTTAATGTTCATCAAATTTCCATGTGGAATGTCAATCTTTTCTTGTATATTTAATTCTGACTTTCCTATGATCCATCAGTAGACAGAAAAGTGTAATGTGTTATTGATGGTACGCGTAAATGTTTTATTTAGAGGTGCACCGAAATGAAAATTTCAAAACCGAAATAAAAATAAAAAAAATGTCAGAACCTTACCTTCTCCTACCACATACACTCTATAAAGCCAACTACCTGGCAATGATAGCGAAACTGATGGACCTCCTCCAGAACATGGTCCTAATATCAACTTTCTTGGCTGGGTAGGATAGCGGCTATAAAGATGTCCTTTCTACCTAAAATCCTGTATCTATTAAGGGTTCTGCCGGTCACGGTCCCGCCATCGATTTTGCGCTCCTTACAATCCAGTGCCCTGAGATTCATCTGGAATGGTAAATGCCCCAGAGTCCCCTGCAGCACTATTTACTTACCAAAAACCCGGGGTGGGCTAGAAGTCCCCAATTCCTTAAAGTATTTCCAGGCAGCTCAAGTAGGACAACTAATCAAGTACCACGCAACAACAGAAATCCCCAGATGGGTGTCACTTGAGGACTCGTTCCATCCAACTGCCTTGGTCGCAAATCTTCTCCCAAACAAAGGCCCTCCCCGCTCAACCCCATCACCACCTCTTCTATACGTCTTTGAGATTCCCTTAACAAAACCACAAAATTGACCTCTCCACAATTACCTCTGCTATCCTACTTGCGCAACCCCAACTTCTCTCCAGCATCCTCTAACTCCCTCCAGCTTTACAGCCTGGTCAGACAAAGGTCTCGTGAACTTCTGGAGACTCCAGGCCCCCACAGGTGTGAAACCCTTCCCACACCTCCAAGAACACTACCGCCTTCCTGCCAAATAACTTTTCCGCTATCTTCAAATTAAAAACGTCATCCTTACAGATATGCGACACTTGCCCCCAGCGGGACCTCTAAGCCCATTTTAAAGAGTTTGCCATTTCCATGCTATACACCTCCGCTGTTACCTTCTAATCTACCTACTCCTTATGTCTCCCAATGGGATCGGGATTTGGGGTCCCCTCTGGAAGACGCCATGTGGCAGTAGTCCTGGCTGAACACGAAATCTAGCTTGCGCTGCATCAGTATGTGGGAGATCAACTATAAAGTATTGCTACGCTGGTACATGGTACCCACAAGAATTGCTAAATTTAACCCGCAATCCTCCACGTTTTGCATCAGAGAATGTTCGGACCTGGGATCCTTCTTCCAACATATGGTGGCAGTGCCGGAAAGTCACAAGGTTGTGGGACCGGATTTTTCTCATACTCTCGTCCCTTTTTCATAGGTCAGTAGAAAAAGATCCCAAATTCGCCCTTCTCAATTGCAAACCTGTAGGTCTCCCTGTGACCGCATTCAAATTATGCCTTCACATCTTGACGGCGGCCAAGCGAGAGATGGCTAAATTGTGGTTGTTCAGCACTCTTAAGTATCACTAGCCTCAAATGCCATGTTAACTGGATGATGTCGCATAAGAACAGCACAATTGGAAAACACCATGCATAAATTTGAAAAAGTATGGTCCCCCGTGGATCGAGAGATACATGCCCTCTGACATTCATCGTCGACTCCTCACCTTGTGACAGATAATTTCCTAACTACCTTTTTGCACTTGCGCCCGCCCACAGCCTGACTCTCCCTTTCTTTCTCTTCTTGCACTTCTTTCTCTCCCACTGCTTTCCTACGGCCTCCTCTCCACAAGCCTTCTGATGAACTTCTGCCTGTCTAAGCTCCAGACCCTGTGCTGCCTGCTCTCGGTGTCAGGTTTAATTACCCCGTTTTATGTGACGGATCAACCACCTGTCACATTCACTGAGCCTACTACAGTTATCACATGCAAGAATTTAATCTATCTACCTGAGAGCCGGCACCAAGGTCCTGCATAGAGATGCAGTGCATTTATGTGCATTGGTCTAATATGAGCCTTACATGCACTGTTTTGTAACCCTATTACAGGTTAACCTCAATAAAAATTTGATTAAAAAAAATGTCAGGCCAAAAATGTTTTTTATTTTAACTTTTTTCCAATTTTTTAAATTATTTTATTTTTTAAAATCAACTTTTACATTTTTTATTAACTATCTTTATTTTTTTACTTTTAGGGGCTTTGGGTAAATATTATGGGTCTACACAGACCACTGATATTTCCTATATAGGAATACAAATCCCAGCAATACATTATAGAGCACCATGTGTGGGAAAGTGCAGGCTTACCTGAGCAGTCTTCCAGCAACTTGCTTCTGAGATAGGGCCTGTCTATCGGCGGCTGTCATCCCCCCACCCCTGCTCCTCCTTACTTCTTCTCCCCGCGTCCCTATGCCGATCGTGGATGTGGGCGAGCGTGAGGCGGGGAGGAGGTGCGGCATGTGCAGCGTGGATGCGGAGAGGTGGGGAGGAGGGGCGGCGCGCAGCGTGTGTGGAGCTGTGAACAGGGCCAACTAATTGGAAGCCGATTAATCGATGATTGAAAAAGTTGACAACTTTTTCAATCATCGATTATCTCGATTAGTTGTTGCAGCCCTACTTGCGGCATTATGCCAAAAGTGCCATTTTTGGCCGATATGTTTCGGCGGCAGATATATCGGTGCATCCCTAGTTTTAATCACATTTGATGTTTTGTTCAAGTTCTCATGCTCTTAAGTATGGGTATAGATTTGAATAGAGTTTTGTATAGATGTCGGTAAATCTAAGGGTTACTATGTAATCTTTAGTACACTCCTATTGTACCATTTGTGGCTGGTTTAGGAAGGATGATCCATACGGCTTGAGTAGTGCTCATACTGATAAATGTGCATTATCTTGTACCTGTTATGAATATGTACAAGGTAGGTATAATGTTTTTGTTAATGTGATGTAGATTATCTAAATCCAAAGAAGTAATTGCAGGATTGTTCTTGTGACAGCATGACCCTCATCCTGCTGCACTGCATGGGTTAAATGCTTGTTTCATATGGGGTGATGTTTAGGGCCATCCCTATATTTAGCCAGTCTGAGGCTTGGGTCACATGGTGGGACGGCAGGCAGAGCGGCCAGAGTGTCCCAGGTTGCTAAGAGCTGGGCAACCTGGGACGCTGTGGCTGGCATCCTGCCTGGCTCCTGGCAACCGGTGATGTCACTGGCTGCCAGGAGTAAAGCGGGAATCACACTAGAACCCCCCCCCCACCCGCAGCCTCAGGCGGCGCAAACACTAGGGACATCCCAGGGGGTAATGATGAATAAGAACAAATACCATATTCCTTACCCATAGACAAAATTAGCTTTTAACCCATCCAGTTTGAGGGATGGTGAGCCCACTGTATAGTTAAATCATTTATAGCAGCCTCGAGTAAAGCAGTGGCACGGCAGTAGCAGTCTACCTGGCCGTCTTTGTATGATTGAAATTTC